CGCCATCACAACCATTTCAGGTGCGTAATATTAAGCTGGACTTTCCTCGTTTCGATGGATCTGAAGTCATGAACTGGATTTTTAAGGCTGAACAATTTTTTGATTATTATGCGACACCGGACAACCACCGTCTCACCATCATCGACGTGCACATGGAGAAGGACGTTGTCCCGTGGTTTCAGATGATTGCACAAAATTAACATTTTCAATCCTGGGGAATGTTTACTCATGCTTTGGAGCTGGAATTTGGGCCTTCTCCATATGAATCACCACGTTCAGCACTGTTCAAACTGACCCAATCCACCACTGTTTGTGATTACTATCCTGCTTTTACTATGCTAGCCAACATGACCCAAGGTTTAAGCCCAGAAGCTGTCCTCGATTGTTTTATCAGTGGCCTTAAAACCGACATTAAACGTGACGCCATTGCTCAGACTCCTTCATCACTATCACGTGCTTTTGCCCTTGCAAAACTGTATGAAGACAAATATTTTCCTCCACCCCCAAATCCGTCACCGGCGCCCACCCACAAATCCTACCACTACCCCACTCCGTACCTTAACCCTCGAAATTAACCACCACCACCAATTCTCCCCCCGCCTCAAGAAAAACCACCAAACCAACCACTCAAATCTAATCTCATTCGCAATATTACAAGAGTAGAGATGCAAATGCGTAGAGATAAAGGCCTTTGTTATTATTGTGATGACAAATTCTCAATTACCCACAAATGTCCAAATCGTCATTTTCTATTGCTTCAAGCTGATAAAGAAGATGCAATTCCCCACTTTAGTAAAACCCCTAATTCACCTACACCTCAACCTAGTCATGTTGGATACTTTGAACACCATCTCTCTTTGAATGCATTGAATGGGTCACATGGTGCGGGTACCTTGCATTTTCATGGGCAAATACAGGCTGTTCATGTCAGTGTTTTGTTAGATAGTGGGAGCTCTGACAATTTTCTGCAACCTTGAATTGCACATTGCCTCAACATCCCTATTGAGTCCACTGGACAATTTAAGGTTATGGTAGGTAATGGGAATTCTCTTGAAACTATGGGCTATATTGCTGAATTAGCAGTAATTATCCAGGGTCACACTTTCCAGCTGCCTGTCTATTTGCTCCCTATTACCGGCGCAGATTTGGTCCTTAGAGCTCCTTGGCTAAAAACTTTAGGTCCTCACATTGCAGATTACAATGCATTATCCATCAAGTTTTATCTAAAGGACACTTTTGTGACTTTATTTGGGAACAAGCACAAGGTCATAGCTCTGCACAATTCCATCACATCCAAAGACTACACAACACTTATGCTATTGAGGCTTCCTTTACACTACAATTTCAAGAAGTGGGACCATCAATAGGCAGCAAACAAGCCCCTACACATCCTGCAGTAGCATCCACTTTATCCCAATTTCCTGAGATTTTTGTGGAACCACAGGGTTTACCACCAACTCGGTCTCAGGACCATGCCATTCCTCTGGTGAAAGGAAGTAACCCAGTTAAGGTACACCCTTATAGATACCCGCATAGTCAAAAAGCTCAAATTGAATCCATGGTTGTTGATATGTTAGACCAAGGCGTTATACAACCTAGAAATAGCCCTTTTTCATCACCAGTGCTATTAGTTAAGAAGAAAGATGGATCTTGGCGATCTTGTACCGATTATAGGGCCTTGAATGCAATCACTATCAAATATAATTTTCCAATCCCCACTGTGGATGAGCTCCTCGATGAATTGTATGGCTCCCATTACTTTTCTAAGCTTGACCTTAGGTCCAGATACCACCAAATTCTTGTCAAAGAAGAGGACAGACATAAAACAACCTCCCGGGCTCACCAAGGCCTTTACGAATGGCTGGTAATGCCCTTTGGCTTATCAAATGCACCGACAACCTTTCAGATTTTAATGAATCATGTCTTCCAACAGCATCTTCGGAAATTTGTCTTGGTATTTTTCGATGATATTTTGGTTTACTCTCCTTCTTGGGAGACGCATTTGATTCACTTGACTGAGGTACTGCACTTAATGCGTTCACATTCTCTATATGCCAAATTGTCCAAATGTTGTTTTGGATTTACCGAAGTTGATTACTTGGGGCACACCATTTCACACCAGGGAGTTCAAATGGATCGATCCAAAATCCAAGCCGTTTTGAATTGGCCTACCCCTACTAATTTGAAGCAACTGCGTAGGTTCCTAGGACTGTCTGGTTACTATCGCCATTTTGTGCGTCATTATGCAACCATTGCAGGTCCTTTGACTGAACTATTAAAGAAAGATGCATTTACTTGGACCCTCCAAGCCACTACTGCCTTTGAGGATCTCAAACATGCCATCACAGCTGCACTAGTGCTAGCTCTACCAGATTTTCATAAGCCATTTATACTAGAAACGGATGCTTCCGGCACCATCATTGGGGAACTTTTGAGCCAAGACAAGCACCCCATAGCATACTTCTCCAAGAAACTCAACCCCACCATGCAGCGCAAATCTGCTTATATAAGAGAATTGTATGCAGTCACCGAGGCAATGGCCAAGTTTCGACACTACATTCTTGGTACCAAGTTTATCATACACATGGATCAAAAAAGCTTAAAATCCTTGACTGATCAAACCATCCAGACACCAGAGCAACAAAAGTGGTTACACAAGTTTTTGGGCTTTGATTTTTCCATTGAGTATAAACCCGGCAAAAACAATATTGCAGCGGATGCCTTGTCCCGTTCATTCTTTGCTATATCAGAACCTATTAATCCTTTGTTGCCATTGATTGTAGCTGTCATTCATGCTGACCAACATTTTTCCTCAATTAAACAACAATGTGAGCTAGGTACTTGTGTGGACCCATTTTTCAGTGTGCACAATGGTGTTTTGTATTGGAAGCAGAGAGTAATGGTACCCCCTACGAGCCATGTAACTCAAGCCATTTTGGAAGAATTTCATTATTCTATGTTGGGTGGTCATTTTGGTATAGCTCGAACTAAAGCTCGCATTACGTCACAATTCATTTGGCCCTCTATGTCGAAAGATATTCGCTTGTTTGTTTCAAATTGTTTGGTGTGTCAACAAGCAAAGTCTTCCACTGCTGCACCTGCAGGGCTGCTCCAACCACTTCCGATTCCGACCCAAATTTGGGAGGACCTATCCATGGACTTTATAATCGGCCTTCCTCCTTCGCATGACTTCACTGTGATCATGGTAGTGGTTGACCGCTTATTTAAGTACAACCATTTTGTTCCCCTCAAGACTGATTTTACTAGCTTCAAGGTAGCCGAAGCCTTCCTTCACAATGTGGTGAAACTACATGGCTTTCCTAAGAGTTTGGTGTCCGATCGTGATAAAGTATTCACAAGCTCGTTTTGGCAACATTTGTTCAAACTGAGTGAAACCACTTTGGCTATCAGTTCGGCTTATCACTCTCAGTTCGATGGACAAACTGAGGCAGACAATAAGTGTCTCGAAATGTATTTACGCTGTTTTGCTGGGCAGGTATCTCAGAAATGGGCCAAATTGATCTACTGGGTAGAATTTTGGTATAATTCTTCCTTTCAAACTAGTATTGGCATGACTCCTTTTAAGGCGGTTTACGGTAGAGAACCTCCTCCATTGATTAAGCATGACACCGCTACTATAGTAGTTCTTTCTCTCCATGATATGCTAGTTGAACGTGACAATACCATTCAATTGTTGAAGAACAACTTACACAGGGCACAACAAGTTATGAAGCGTAATGTTGATTTGAAACGACGCTTTGTGGAATTCCAGTTGGGAGATATGGTTTTGGTTAAGCTGCAACCATACCGCCAACATTCAGTGGCTTTGCATCGCAACTAGAAGCTGAGCATGCGTTACTTCGGGCCTTTTCCTATCATTGAGAATGTCGGGCCTGTAGCATACAAACTTTTACTTCCACCCTCTGCTAAGATCCATCCTGTTTTTCATGTGGTCAACTTGAAGTTGTGTAAAGGTGACCACACTACTCAATACTTTCCACTACCATTGCTCACCAATGATACTGGTCCCCTCTTAGTTCCTGAAGCTATTCTAGATTCACATGTGCTCATTATGAAAGGGCAAGACATGCAACAAGTCTTAGTTAAATGGGCTGATTTTCCACATCAGGATGCTACATGGGAAAATTTGGTACAGTTCAAGACCAACTATCCCAAGTTTAACCTTGAGAATAAGGTTAATTTTGATGGAGGGGTAATGTTATGAGTGATGGCAGAATAGTCAATACACCAACTGAATTCAATGAGAATGATGGACACTTGGCACATGATCCTGCTTTTCCGGAACCAAGACGTGGAATGAGAGAAAGGAGCTCTAACAGAAAATATGTCACTGACTATGTTAAATAGGTCAATGATTGGTTACTATAGAGGGGGGAATTGAATGTGGAAGAATATGACTTTCTTCTCTCTGAAGCTTATGTTTTTCTAATACTATTCTTTAGATTTCATCTTTTCATTTCTTTCAAAGAATAATTGTATTGTTGCACTGATTATTAGTATAATTTTCATCACTTTTTTTACTGTGTTATAGATTCTGTTATTTGAATTCATAACACTATCATAATGGAGTCTCCAATTAATTATACAACGTAATAACCCTGTTAATTAAAAGCGGAGAAAGGCAAGACATTGCAAATAGTAGCCACTCTCTAAAAAATACATATCCAACCCGGCCGATAACCAAATAAACCACCGCTGGTTATTAGTGAGTAAAATTTAAAAGATTTAAATAGTTAATTGATCTCTATAAAAATAGAGAGAGAAAAAAACAAAAAATAACCGATTAAAATTGATATAAAATATATAATAGGATCTCATATCTAACCAACGACATAATTTATTATTTTGTTAACCTAATACACCATTCTAAAAGTCCTTACCATTTTATTTAAGAACAAGAAAAAGAAAAGTGTCTGATTACATGATAAAAATGGATAACTTAAATCCATAAGTTGCTGCTACGTAAGCGTTATACATTGTTACAATCCATGAGGTGGTCGAATTGTAAAGTTTGGGATTCTACCACTACCTATGTGGTCTTTAGCTGGGACATGAATTCCAGGAACTTCAGGTCGTATAACTGGCCCTCCTTTTCTGTTTATTCTGTTTTGAAAGGCTATAACTGGCCTTCTTAAAGTTGGAGGATTTATGTGTCGTTCTCCTAGAACGCCAACAACAGCGGACGAGAAACCGACTCCCAGGCTGAGCTTTCTATGTATAGGTCGCTGTTGGTTGGGACCAGTCAGTGTCTGTTCATTGGGATTACTTGCAATTGTGAGAGTGATGATTGTAAGGAACAAAGTTAGGATCCATATGAAAGACATATTTCAAGCTTTTCTGTTTCTGTTTGTTAGTTTCAGGCACTACTGGTTTTTGTAGTCGCAACTTTAGAGTGTGAACATCCCAAAAGTCATTGAAGGAAAATTATGTTTAGTTTCTAAAGCGAGCATTATGCCGACAATAAAGTCATTATTAGTCAAAAAAGAAAAAGTGTCTTGTTATTACACCATAAAACAATTATTCTATAAAAAAAGTGCTTAGAAAATCACTACTTTACTTTGGAAAATAACATACCAAGTAAATGCATATTTATGTTGGGTTTGTAAAGCCACCATCTGTATATACCAAACCTTTGTTTTTGTCATTATATTTGTTTTACATTTTATTTAAAAATTATTCATGAGATGGGAAGGTCCATGGTTCAAACCCTTTGAAGGACCAAGGAACCGGATTAAAAATAATCAATTAAATTAATAATTAAAATCGGACCAAATCAATGTCATTTGGTTTGGTTTAAAAATCGAATCAAACCAATAAAAATTAATGTAATTTTATTTGATTATCTATTTAATATTTTAACTTGTGAATCACATTGAAGGCTATATATCCTCACTTTATTTTTAATTTTATTCATTATTAAATCAAACCTTATGAGTATGAAAATTTAATTTATTAAAAAAATTGTTAAGCTTGTCATTATGGTTGTGTTAATTTGGAAATTCTAACAAAGTCAATGAAAAATGATGATAATCACGTTGGAAATTATTAAGTGTTAAGAGCTTCAATCAAATGCTTCGACATATTAACTATGTCGACTATGATGGTTTGACTAACTTATCAAAAGAGTCAAGGCAAAAACTGGTTTGGAAGAGTCTCAGGAGCGTATTCATATGATTAGGATCACTTTCTTTTCAAAACATGTCCAAAATATCTAAAGGATTTGCGCAAGGCAGCTCTTCGACAATATCGAGATCGACATGTCCACCAGAAGTTAGGGACTTAAGATACTCTCAAGTCTAAAGACTTTGTAATGTGAAGATTTCTTAACAACGCTATAGGAGTCAAACAAGGACTCTCGATATAGGCAGTTGAGGGCTTCAAAGCAGCTATTAACGCAGTTATCAATATGATGGTTGGTTTTCAACAGTTGTATCTTTAAGGATGCATGAAAGCAAGTTAGAAAGAAGAAGCCTACGTAGTGGGATACGTGTCAAATCCTTAGGAACTATGCGTTGTCAACGATTGATATTGTATTAGTATATAAGTAAATCTCGGTGTTTGTGATTGAGGTTGCAAGTTTTCGCTCATTATCTATAAAACTAAGTATCCAAGTCAGAGAAAGAGAGAATTTGTGAGAAATGTATGATTCCACATCCATATTTTAACTTTTTTTAAGTTCTTTAAGTCAAAGCATTTATTTTATGTCATCTATTATACTTTTTCTTTATTTTATTTCTTCAAATCAATTATGCATTTACAGTCCATTATCAATTTTCAAGCATTTAAATATCATCCATAAACAGTTTTTCTTGCACTTTTCTGCGCAGATTGTCTTTGAGATTTTTTCGAAATTTAATCTCTTTAGTGAACCAAACTATTGATTGTTTACTAAAAATACCAGTAAACAAATTGGTACACCCAGTGAGACCTTTTTGTTTAAGAAATTTTAAACATTTTTTGTAGAAAGTTATTGTGTCTTTTATATTGTTTACTTTGTTCTTCATACATGAACTGTCTTCATTTGTCAAGCGTTTATCCTTCTGATGAGTGGTAAACATACCAATCTCATAATCATAAATAACAATTTCATCATCATAAATAACACTTGGTGCAATACCAATCTCATCATCATAAATAACAATTTCTTTCTTTTGATCACTCAAAATACCAAAAATTAAAGAGGAAAAACCAATAGGTGGATGGATGCCATGAGACTCAGCATGTTTAACAAATTGACAAAGACATCATTCTCCATATTCCAAGAAAGTATGAGTTCATGCCTGGTACGGAAAACCGGCGATTCAGCAGTAGAACTCTTTTGATTGCAGACTAGAAATTTTAACAAAACCAAATTCATCAATAACAAGAACATCAGAAAGACTGTAGAAGCAAGCTTCATCTCAAAGTTTTGATGAGGTCAACATCAAGATCAAGAATAATTCATCTGTGCAAAAAGGCAAACGCTTTCAAAAGACCAAGATCAAGTGGAATGGAAGTGATCAACATTCAAAACTTCATGAACATTTGACTGATCAACTTTCAAGTTTTGGACACAAGCTATGGTATATCAAAATCCATTAATTTAATTGATATACAAGTGTTCAATATCTTTATCATTTGATCACATTGCATTAGCATATTTTTTAAACTATTAGAATTGGTATAACACTATTTTTATAAGCATTTTTCTGAAAAGTAGCAGTGTTAACCGATTAACCATATAAGTTAACCATTTCAAATTTTGAATATTTTGGTATAACGTTCAAGTGTTAACCGATTAACCATATAGGTTAACCAATTAACACTGAACGTATTTTGAAAAATGGCTTTGTTTCAAGTTCAAAAATGGTTTGAAAATTATACCAGTTCATATTTTGAATTATACTCAAATATACCTGTTGGAAAAAGTGTGTTTACACATATAAATTCTGAGTTTTTCAAATTGAAAAACAATCCTCCAATAATCAATTTCAAAACAATTCTTGAATCAAATTCACCACTTTCAAATACTTTTCAAATTTTTCAAAAGTGTTCATATTGATCATATCTTTCATATGCATAGCATTGAACACTTGTATTGAAATTAAATGAGTGAATTTTGATCAGAAGGAGAAGATCAATCTCAGCATTGATATTACCATTATTATTCTCAAATCAAAGTATTCAGATTACTTGTATTTTGACTTGTGATCCAGGATTGTTGGACACAAGGGTGAGTGTTTACAAGAGGATTGTTCTTGTACACTTGTTGTTTTTTATTGTTTGATAGTAGGCCTCACCGGTTGATGGTGTGATAGGTTGTACTTTATTAAACAATAGTGAAAACTCTCTTTCGTGTTGAAAGGGGAGTGGAGTACTCTCGGATTATGAGGGGAACCACTATAAATTTTGGTGTCCACTGTCCTTTTACTTTCTACTGCATTAATCACCAAGAACCTAACCAGTAAAATTTCAAGAATACCGAAAAACCGGAAAAAGTCCCTAAAAGCCTAATTCACCCCCCCCCCCTCTTAGGCATACTCTGTACTTACAATTGACATCAGAGCAGGTTAAGGTAACCTGTTCCTATCAATCGTAATGGCTTCCGCTAGTACTAACCCGGTTTTCAAAGATGGTGGAAGCAGTAACAAGCCACCACTCTTTTCTGGAGAATACTTCGACTTTTAGAAAATCCGTATGAAGGCACATCTTGAGGCTCAAGGAGATGGTATATGGGAAACCGTAGAAACTGGTCCACATGTTCCTACAAGTGTGGTAAATGGTGTTGGAACTCCAAAGATAAAATCCTCATATGATGAAGATGACAAAAAGAGAATTTTGAATGAGAAGAAAGCAATCAACATACTTCAAAGCGCTCTCAGTATGGACGAATTCTTCCATATATCACAGTGTAAATCAGCAAAGGAAATTTGGGACACCCTGGTAGAAACACATGAGGGGACAGCCGAAGTAAAAAGATCAAGACTTAATACTTTAAGTCAAGAATATGAAATGTTCCGTATGCAGCCTGGTGAATCCATTGTTGCCTTACAAAAGAGATTCGTTCATCTAACTAATCATTTGATTGCCCTCGGGAAGACCTTCACCAATAATGATCTCAACTTGAAAGTCCTAAGATCCTTAACAAGAGAATGGCAACCAAAGGTGACCGCTATTTCCGAAATGAAGAGTCTTTCAACGATGACATCCGCTTCATTATTTGGCAAACTTCAAGAGCATGAACTGGAACTTGGTAGGCTTGAGAAGCATGAAAGTCAAGACAAGAAGTCCAAAGGAATTGCCTTGAAGATTGACACAAGGGATGACAAAAATGACGAATCTTCCGAAGACGAAAATTACATGCTTCTAGTAAAGAAGCTTGGTAAGTTTTTTAATAATAATAAAATTTCTTCTTTTTCTAAAAAGAATAGACATTTCAGGAAAAAGGAGGCACCCACATCAAACCAAGAAATTACATGTTGTGAATGTGGGAAACAAGGTCACATAAAGCCAGATTGCCCGAAACTCGCAAATAAAGGAAAATTCAAAGGCAAGAAGGATTTCAAAAAGAAGAAGGCTTATGTCGCATGGGACGACAACGAAGTAAGTTCATCATCAGAATCGGAAAACGATGAATGTGCAAATATGGCGTTAATGGCCTCTCACCACTCCGATGAAGAAAATGAGGTTAGTAGTAATTTTTCTGTTTATGATAATGATGCACAAGAAATTATAGATGAACTTCTAAAAGAGTGCAAGACTTTGTATAAAAACATCTCATCACAAAAGAAAAGAATCTCCTCTTTAGAAGAACAAAACTCTATTTTTATGAAAAATATTGAAGATGAAAAATAGAAACTGATGGATGAAAAACAAAGTCTTGTATGTAAGAAATGTGAGTCTTTATCTTTCCAAATTGTTCAACTCAAAAGAGTTTTAGAAAGATACGAAAAAGGTCAAATTGGCTTGGAAGAAATTCTAAAACATCAAAGATATCCTAATGATAAAAGTGGATTAGGATATTCTAAATTTTCAAATCCAAGCACCAATAAGACCGTTTTCGTAAGAGCAAGTGAACAAATTGTTAAAGAAAAGGCCAGCACTTCTAAAGTTCAGCATCAATATCATAACAAGAAAAGCATTGCAAAGAAAAAGAATTATGTTTCTAGATATAGAAGTCACTTTCAACCTACATGTTCTTATTGTGGAATTAAAGGCCATACACCTAATGCTTGCTATGTGCGCAATATTGGTGTTGCTAAAGGGCATTATGTGTGGGTTGAAAAAGGTACTAACTATCAAGGACCCAAAGCAATTTGGGTACCTAACACTACCTGATTTTGTG